GAGGGGCAGGTCTGGCTTTGCCGGCTTTGTTGGCATAACTTGGACCTAGTGACCTTGCTCTTCTGAACCTCTGATTCCTTCATCTCTAAACGGGAGAAAATTTAGGAATTTCCTCGCCAGTTTTGATGGGTTAGTGAGATGGTTGCTTCAGGGTGATTTCATCACAGACTTCGACTTTGACAACAGAAAACAGAAAAATGTTAGATTTGTGTTGTCAGAAACCACCCAGCAGGGGGATGTGCAGAATGACACTTGTAGGTGCTAAGGCAAATTTTATTTTTTTCCTAATTTTTAAAATTTATTTTTTTTAGACAAGGTGTCACTATGTAGTCAGGCTAGCCTTGAACTCACTACATAGCTCAGGTTGGCCTTGAACTCTCGATCGTATTGCCTCAGCCATCCAAGTGCTGTGATTACAGGTGTGTGCCACCACACCCGGTTTAAAGTTAGTTTTTGGTGAACAGAGGAAAAAGAGAGAGGCAGAGCAAATGCTGGGCACTGCACAGGTCACTCGTTGGCCACAGTGACTGCAGAAATTTAAGGAGGAGGAGGAAAGGCAACTGACTGACATGGGGAAGGGTATGGATGGCCTCGCATGTCACGATTTCACAATGACTGCGCCTTTCCTCAACTTAGACTCATGACCTTGGTTACGTAGCTCTCAAATTCGATCCAACTGTGTGATCTTGAGAGCTTTGGCTGAGATGCGTGCATGGAAACGGAAGGTAAGGAGATTAAAGCGTAGAGCAGCAGGCAGGGTAAAACCGTGATATTAATGGTAGCTAGTATTCCTCCTTCACAAAATGCAAATAGCATGCTAAATGCTTCCCATGACCCAACACAAGTTAAGCAGCTTCCTAAATTGCACAGCCATGTTTTGGATGGGCCAGGATGACCCCTCCCTGCTTCCAGCCATCTCAGCCACTCAGAGACATTATCTTTGACCCTGTGTCCCCAGCTCTCTACTAGAAGACTCAGAGATGGGGCCACCATTTTGAGTCTTTGCTCCCATTTCCTTTGTGGGGAGCAGGAAATGTTTCTCTCTCTTTCTAATGCCCCCACCTTGTCTATAAGTTATCCTGTTACACTAAAATAAATCCTTACTAAAACTTTAAAAAAAGAAAAGATTGCACGGTCAGCAGGTGACAGAGGCACAGTGGTACCCAGGCTCCGTGACGACAGGACTATGTTTTAATTCACTGCTTACTGTCATGCAGAGAAGGCCCTGGCTCTTTAATTCCAGTCTGCCTCTGAAAAACAACGGCAGGATGAGCCGAGGTGAGGAGGCCTGTGGGTAAAACCCGTGGGCAAGGTGTTGTTAGGTGAATACGCACACAGAGAGCATAGGAATTCAAACACATGCACAGCAAGGCTGCTGGACGTCTGTACTTCGGGGGTAGATCAGGCGGTGGACAGAAACTTGGACCTGTCACCACACAGCTATATTTAAGCCCTCAGGACTGGGGTGGGCTAAGACGTTGAAGAACAGGACTCTGGGAAACTCCGACATTCAGAAGATAAAGCCAACAGGGGAAATCAAAGCAGAGTGGCCAAGGAGGAGGGGGACCTGGAAACCAAGAGAGGAGGACTTCAAGAAGGAAGCATGGGCCTCTGTGCCAGATTCAATCCACTTGGATGAGCACTGAGACTTAGGGGATTCTGTAGCTGGGGGGAGGCACAACGGGGAGGTGCGACATCATGGCGCTTTGGCCAAAGCCTGAACCAACCGAGTGTGTTCAAAGGAGGAGAAAAGGAGGGAGGACGTATGTCAAGTATGGTTTACATGGAGGGCCAAGGCACCGCCACAACCTCGCTAAAGAAGACTCCTCCTCAGGCTCTGCTACTTGGAGGACTGGGACCCTGACTTTCTTTCCTGCCTTGCACAGGTTGGTGTTCCACAGATGCAGAAGTTAACTGAATATTTGAGAAGAGAAGCATTTTAACCCCTCCCCCCAGTTCCCACCACAAAGATACCTTTGGAAGCACCACATGGAAAACAGAAACTCAGTGTTCTTTTTTAACCAATGAAGGGCAAAGTTCCTTTGTATGAGCACGTTGTGCATGTGATGAGTGTTGTAAACGCTTATCTTAGAACTCTGGTTCAGTTGGGGAGAGAAAAAAAAAAAAATCTTCCCTCTGCCAACCCATTGGTTTATGTGAATCACAGCTCAGTGAAACCTTTCAGGCATAGAATTTATCTTTTCTGTGGCCTATGTAGTAAATGCTGCATTTGTTCATGAATTCTTGCCTTGTTTTAATTATGCTATGCTCTGAATGTAGTTTTATGAGGCACAAAAATAAGACTGTCATGCTGAAAACACAGAAGATTTGTGTGTTTCCCCAGAGTGAAATGGTGGTATCTCACTCCCAATTCACAGCTCTGTGGCCTTGCAGTTGGAATTCCAAGCCCGGGGCTGGGGGTGGGGGTGGGGGTGCAGTGACAGTGTGTATGTGGGGGGAAGGGCTGGTGGGGGACAGGGGAAGGGAGGGACAGCTGACATGGCAGAATCCAAGGCATAATTTGCCCTAAGAATTCTAAATCAATACACTGACATCCATCTAGGCATAATGGTGCACTCCCGCCATGAAACCCATTGACATTTCATGGGTTTTTCCTTCCAAGGGCTGCATCACTGCACTCACAGAGTGACTGCTTTTCTCCCAAACACAGAGGTATGCAGCCAGGGGCCTGATGGGAAATCTTTGCAAATGTGAAGGCCTTTTTTTGGGGGGTGGGGGGAAATGCTTGCAGACATATGCATTTGAATATCCACAGGCTCACAGGCTCAAGGAGAAATGGCCAGCGCCTAGCTAGTCTTGTTTTATATGTAGGCAGTACAGGTTGGGCACCCAATTACCAAAAATGGACATTTGCAGTACACCAAAGGCAGATGAAGATTTCACTGAGGGATCTGGGGAGCTAGCTCATCCAGATTATCCAGAAAGGAAGATGGGTTACAATTTCGGGGTATTCTGAGAGATTATCATAACTGGACTTAACCGTATTCGATATCTGCCATGTTTCTAACACACACCCCATGTTCAGACTCACATCTCATCTGGAAATCACTATTTAATCAAGGAGCTGCCTCTAAGATTTTTTTTTTTTCAATAAAGGAAGCTGAGTTAACAAAGCACAACTCTTAAACTTTTCCCGCCACTGAGTTTTTTCAGACTAGGGATAGATTGAGTGAGACCATTACCAGACTCGTTACCCCTGCTGAGGTGGTTGACTTGAGCGAGGATTTGGCTGAATCTCTAGACAGCTGGTAAAAATGATAAAGTGCTGCCCTTCATTCTCTTCCCATAAGTAATTCAGTCCTTTCCCAATTCAGGCAATGACTAGCTTTGGGTGACCACACCAAAGAAACACGTGGCTATTAAAAAGCAACAACCTGAGAATGCCTTTAGGAGCCTATCACCAGTAAGAAACCCTCAGCAAGAGGTTCTCTGCTCAAAGGAAAGTTAGTGACAGAGTCTCCAACATTCATGAATATTGATGACCAGTTTACAGCCCCCAGGAAGTGGCTCCAGGCTTCTGCACTTGATGGAAAGGTTCTTGTGCGGTGAGGCCAGTTCCTCCGTGTCTGGACCTTCTCCCTCCCAGCACTGCCTCTCCAGGAGAGCACTTGCCACCCACATGGCCATCTCGGGTTTATTTATTTGTCTTCTCTCACTGGACATCAAATTCCATGAGGGCAGAAACCTGTGACCTGTCCACCACCATGGCCTCATGCCTCACCTGTGCCTGGCGTGTCACACCTGATAACAACAGATACCCAGATGCATCTGAAGACTTACTATTGAATTATGTAAAAGGTATTTGATTGGTTCCTTGAACTGGAACAGTTTGGGAAGTGGGTGATGTGAAAGGAAAAAACTTAAAACTTTTGAAAGAAATTTTGAAAATATACTTTTTGAGTCAAAATTTAGAAAAAACAGGAAGAATGCTGACAGTAAGTGTCTCAACACACAAGTCTTAGCTTTTACAATTTCAACCATCTAATTATCACAATATAATTTTTGATGCCATCCTGGATGCATTAAAACCACAGGCTATTGTGACACTCATTTTCATTAAGAAAAATGGGTGCACAGTGTTTAGAACAGCCCTGCTGTATTGTAGGCGCTTACTGCAGAAGTGCCTGTGTTGTTATCAGCACCTTAGCATCGTGGCAGGGTGTTGTTAAGACATTATGATGAATACATTGACAGAAACCCCAAGTCGCAACCATAAAAAGCTGAGCCCATGAAATTTTTCCTCACTCAGCTAGAGACATCTAACTTTATTCTGAAAGTTTGAAAGGCATTGGTATTTAAAAGTCTGTTAAGCAAGGAAACAATGCCTTCAAAATGCAGTGTATCAAATTTATTTTCTTCTCCACTCAAGTTCTTTTCCTGCCTGAAAAACAAACACGTTTCAAGGTTAACTACTCTTTTTTAACATCCGAAAAAGCTTGCCTTTTTTTTTGCGCAGGAAACAAAGTAACCGCTTCAGGATACCGCCTTAAAAAAGAAATAACTCGTTTTTATAAAAGTCTTGCTTGTTGGAACCCAATTAGTACATCAAATGGTCTGCCCACAGCACCTCAGTGTAAAAGATGGTGAAGATCAACTCCCATCAAAATGTGCCCCCGAAAGCCTGTGACCATACCGCAACTCAAAGAGGCGCTGCAGGGTATTTAAATGTTTCGGGTGCCGTTTTTGTTCCATGCATGCCTCTCTGTCCAAATTCCACTGATCCTAAGTGGGGCCTGTGTACCTTAGCCTTTGATAAATGGGAGGACAAATTCATGTGAGTGTAAGTCACCTCCTCTTTTCTTTTACATAAAGCAGATGTCACAGCTGTTATTGTTCTTCCAACAGATGTTTCTACATCTGGGAGATGCTTCTCTCATGGACCTTGTCTAGGACCATGGATGACTGCAGGGGTGCCATATGTACAGTGGTCTCACCTCATCCGTGCCCGGAAACATGCATCTGTCCCTTTGCACACTTACCTCCCTTGTAGAGACACCATCAGTTGGCCCTGTGGGTCCAGGAGCCTCCTCGGCCTGGTCTTGATGCTCTGCGCTCCTGACTTGCTCCTGGCTTTCAACAGGTGCCTTTTCTTGTCCCTTGTCCAGTTTGAAGAATTTGTCAAAAAAGCTGGAGTCCTTGGGCTTGGAGGGGGCGGCTGCCCCTGACTCAGGTGGGAGAGGCGCAGGCTGGCAGGTGGCAGCTTGGGCCTGGTCCCCAGCCGGGGTCTGCCCTGGGGTTTTATCCCCCGCGGGCCGGGGCACAGCTGCGGCCGGATGTGCCTTGCGCTCACTCGGGTCTTTGTCTGTGCTGGCTGTGCTGGAGCTGCCATCCAGCCTGGCCGGTGTGGCAGATGAATCCAAGCCTTGGTCCCCGGGACGTCCTGGTACAGGCCGAGAGAGAGTCAAGAAAAAACGCGATTTAGCAGCTGGGGCCTCGGGTTTGGCCTCTTTCCCAAGATTCTTTCCTCTGGCATCCAGCGCAGCGCTGGTCTCCATTGTCTTGGAGGAAGAAGTGGCTGCATTATCCTTTGGGACTCTGATTCCTAGATCGACTGTAAATACAAACATAAACAGTGGTGATTCAACCAGCCAGGAGATTCAAAGATGAATGATGGACTCCAGACATTTGATACACAAAGGCAGGATGCAGGCTGGGGCTGTGCTGTTTTTGTTCTCCCCGGACTCTGCAGAGCAGAAGTCAGCCCTGCAGACACCCTGACCCTGCTTTTCTCGGGAGAGGGGAGAAGGCTGGTGAGGAGGGAAAGCAGCTATTGCAGAGTCAATGGCAGCCAATGGTAACTGTTGTCTTCTGTTGTCCCAGGAAACCCCACGTTCAGTGGTTAAGAGCTGGCTGCAGAGCCAGAGCGAGGACTTTCAGCCTCAGAAATATTGACATGTGGGGTTGGACCATGCTTACAGGGATCCATATTATAGGATGTTCTGCAGCATCCCTGAATTCCACCTACTGGATGACAGTATACACACACCTTGTGACATTGTGACAAGCAAATACGGCTCCCGGAGGGTGGGGAGGGTCACTCACGTTTATAACCAGTAAGTTTGGTTAGCTACTTGAATCCTATTCTCTGCCTCAACTTTCTAGAAAAATGAGGCAAATAATTGAACCTACCTTGTAACTTTGGTATGGAGATTGCATGAGTTAAAGTACATGGTTAAGTATATTTAAGGTGCCTGGAACGTACTAAGTGCCCAATAAATGTCTTGAGTCTTAGTTATTATCATTATTCATGAGTGAGAAAACTGACATCCAGACAGGTTGATCCACCTTCCTGTGGTTGCCCAGTAAGCTGGGAAGTAGCTGAGCCTGGTTTAGGCAGAAACCAACTCTTCAAATTCACTCACTCTCATTCTCTCTTTTTTCCTCTTTTGGGATACTGGGACTTGAACTCAGGGTCTCAAGCTTGTAGACTGGTATTCTACCAGTTAAGTCAAGTCCCCAGCCCTTTCTGCTTTTAGTTATTTTTTTGAATTGGGTCTTGAGTTTTTGCAAGGGGCTAGCCTTGACTACAATCCTTCCTATGTCTCCTGAGTAGCTGGGATCATAGACATGTACCACTACACCTAATTTACTGGCTGAGATGGGGTCTCGTTAACTTTTTGCCCAGGCTGGTCTCAAACCTCTATCCTCTGTATCTCCACCTCCCAAATAACTGGAATTATAGACATAGCACCACCACACCCAGTCCTCATGTCCTATCTTACTGCAAGACTTATTCACATCGACTCACATGGACCTCAGGCTTGTGAGGGATGGAGACACAGTGTCCGCTGGTTAAGTCAATCAGTCTGTCTGTGTTTCTCTCTCTCTCTCTCTCTCTCTCTCTCTCTCTCTATGTGTGTGTGTTAAGTCTACCTCCTTCCAAAGCAGCACTTTCCTAAAATCCAGCTGTTTCTGCCTTGAACTTTAGCTAATTGAACTGCTTTCTTTTGTAGCGCTCTCTCTCTCTTTAATAAACCTATGCAATGTTCACAGAAAGCAATGGCAAGAATTTTGGAGTCACAATCATCGAAGAACAAGATCTTCTGCTGAGAAGCTGTGTGATCTTAGTGAAGTCCTGCAGAATCTTTGAATTTCCTCACTTGTTCATTGGGAATATTTGTTACTCCTTGCAGGGTCATTCTGACACTTCCACTTCCGGGGCCACCTCATGCAAATGATCTGGTAGGAAGTCTTTCCCACAGCAGGTGTACTGTGATTATTTTAAGATTTCTCCCCTGGCTTTGACAACATTGCATTTGATACACTTGTAGTCAGACACTCCTGAATTATAGGAGTCCTCCTGTTTACAGGAAGACAGAGCAGAGAAAGGGAAGACCTGGGATTTCTTTGCTCTACTTATATTATATGGCATCACAAACACACATTTGTTAGCAATAGTGTTTGCCAAACCCTGGTATATCAGTGTCCAGAGTCAGAAATAAGCAAATGAGGAGGGGTAGTTCTAGTTCAGAATGACGTCTTAACAAACACTGCGGAGCAGAGAGAAGGTACAGGACCACGGTGAAAGCGAGGGTTCATCACAAACCTCTAGGAGGTCCCCTCCAGTGCATGGCTGCATCTTCCAGCTCTCCTTCACCTTTTTGTCTGTGGCCCATTCATAATGGAGGAAAATAAACTACAGGAGTGAGGAAAGGAAACAGGGAGCATAGGGAAGCGAGAGAGATGTAGCAGGGCACAGGGGGAGGCAGTACAGAAATGAACATGCCAAGAGGAGAGAAGAGAATTTACAAAATGGGAGAGACTGAGATGAAGAAACAGCAAGGGCTTTCAAAATGCCCAGAGCATCACTGATTTCTTTCTGTCTTTTCTTCTGTCCTTGTTGCACCCTGCCAGGGAACTTTCCTAGCCAGTGGTAAGTAAGAATGTTATAGCCATAGAAAAAGTCTTCAGGGGAAAAAAACATGGATAAACTTTTCTAAAAAGTGCTAGTATACTACTTTCAATAAGGATAAAACCCTCACATTTGGACTAGATTCTAACACATTTAGAGATGATGGCAGATGCTACCAGGGAGTAATGAAAGTGTTCTCAAAAACTTATAAGAACTTGGGGTTCTTAGATGGTTCAGCCCATAACAACTGAGGCCTGACCTGCCCCCTCCCCCTACTCTCGGGGTGGTTTATTCCCAAATCTATCACTTGGGCCTCTATCCTCTTACTAAGATGCTCACCTTTCTGGTGGCTTAAGACCTAAGTTAGACCAATCAAAATAACTCCTGGGACTTTTGCACCTTTGTGCTTGGGTTGGCAAACCAACAGGGGTACAAATGGAAATGGGGTGACCTCAGCTACAACACTGGGGTGATGACCAAAACTTGAGATCCAACATGGATGAAAGCAGAGCCAACAGCTCCAGTTACCCAGTGATACTCTTTGAACTTCTGGGTTCAGGTGTGCTGGAAGCTGGACGTAAGCCCCACTCCCTCTGCTGGTTTAAGTTGAGCATATACTCAGTGACTGCAGAGAGTTTCAGGGCATGGTCACTATTCTCCTTGTTATAGAGTTAGTAAGCATCTGATACTCTGAGGGAAGCCATCTGTAGCTGCTGAAGCCTGCCAAGCAGGCCTTTAGGGTAGGAGGGAAAAGTACAAAAAGAATAAATACAGGGCAGTAAGCTCTAAGGAACTGGGCCAGAAGTTGAAAAAAGGGGTGGCCGGGGCGGGGGGGGGGCGGAGGGGGGGGGGGGGGGGGGGGGGGGGGGAGGGGGGGGGGGTGGGGGGTGGGGGGGGTGGAGGGGGGGCGGGGGGGTGGGGGCGGGGGGGGGCGGGGGCGGGAGGGGGGGGCGGGGGGCGGGGGGGGGGTGGGGGGTGGGCCGGCGGGGGGCGAGGGGGGCGGGCGCGGGGGGGGGCGGGGGGGAGAGGGGGGCGGGGGGGAGGCGGAGGCTGGGGGGGGCGGTAGGCCTCCACAATGTTGTTTCTCAAAAAATGAAGGGGAAAATCCACTTGAGATAAGAAAAGTACAGTCATCTGAAACCTTAAACATTAAAAACACATAAAATGTATTCTGAAACACACATACACAGCCTATCCATGTGAGTTGAGCAGAAGAAAAGTTGCTGGAGTTCTGGACTGTGGACTCTTGCGAAAGACAAGATGGTTCACACTCCTTCCTCACGTTATCATGGGAAGAATAAAAAGTCCCTCCAGAGAATCAGATTCTTGACAAATCTTGGAAGAAGCCCATCTTAGAGAGAGAGAGAGAGAGAGAGAGAGAGAGAGAGAAGAGAGAGAGAAAGAGAAAGAGAGAGAGAGCAAGAGTGAGCCCATACTGATATAACTTATTGCAGTAGAGAGTATTGTTAAATGTTTTACTTGAGTTACTATTGCTCTCTTACTGAGCCTAATTTATAAATTAAACTTTATCATAGCTAATATACATAGGCAATAGGGTTCAGTGTTATCAATGGTTCCAGGCAGCCATTGGAGGTCTTGGGATGCCCCATAGGCAAGGGGCATTGTGAAATTCCTTATTTCCTCCCCACTAGATATCTGCTAAAAAAAAGATGGGGACTTGGGGTGTTCTGGCGACAGTCCCAGTGCCTCCAGCAGTGTCTGGCAGGTAATGTGTCTGAGGTAGAGACTTGCCAAGTCCTTAACAAAAGACCACACTGGTCACAGTGGCAGAAACAGCCATCCTTGTAACAGGGTGCTGCAGGAGACAACGCCCTTTTTTCCTCAGGTCATATTATCCAAATCCTCCTCCTCCTTTTTTTTCTTTTTCAAATCCTCTACTTCTGAAGGCTCACGGGAAGCAGAAACGTCTCACAATTTTATGACACATGAAACATCCACTTATGAAAAGTATTCCCCATTCCAACTTCACTTTCTATGCAATCCTGTCCTTATGTGTGGGTGTCTTGGTCCATCAGGATGAAGTGGGCATATAAGGCACACTAACTGTAAAGAGGGAATTACAAATCTTACAAACACTAAAGAAGTGTACAATCATGTGATTTAGTGTTGGTGAGCAGCTGGGATCAGACATGAAGCCATTGTTGGATCTGCAAAGCTAAAGGATCTGGCAAAGCTAAAGCAGTTCATGGAAAAAAGGAAGGGAAGGAGATGACTTCTTCGGAGGAGAATTCTATTTGAATATCAAAGGGTTAGGAGAGGCCCCAGGGAAAACCCAAAGATGAAGCCCTCAAAACCTTCACAAAAATGACCCTTTTGCGATCATGTTGCAGGAGTCAAATGACAGTCAAACAACTGTGGCCTTCTGTGTGGTGCAGAGGTAGTCATTGTTTTAAAGTCCTAAAGCTAGAATTCACAGGGCAGATACTCATGGCTTGGAAGATGTTAGATTTGAAATTGCGCTGATGGATCATATTTTAGACTTTTTGTGTCAGTACTTGCCTGGGCCAAGAAATTCTAGCATAAATAAAAGAATGGGTTTTGGGGCATAGGGAAAAATTCTTGATTATCAGCCTGATACAACACATCTGGCAATGAAAACACTGGATCCAAATGGAACACGAGCGACAACTAAGTGTTGACCCCATGCTGTTTAGAAACTACCCTCTATAGACTGGTGG